CGTGTGTGTGTGTGTGTTGCCGCGAGCAGCGTGGGAATATGCCGAGCTGTCTCTTCTAATGTTTACCTGTCGTCTTACCTTGCCGCACTCCTACACCATCAGTACAGCCATCTCGCTCGCCCCCACTCACTTTTCCGCCCGTTTCCTTACTCGGTTTTCGCGCACTCTTCTGAAAGTGTGGCTGTCCACCCGTCTGTCCGTCCGCCCGTCCGCCTGCCGTTTTAGTTCAAGTTCAGTATGCACATCGTGTTTGCTTTACTTCGGAAACTGAAACTTCTCTATTTGTTTGATTTCAGCTGTTTGCCTCTGACAAGATTAAGGTCAAGTTTTGTCGCTTCATGAGTGTGTATATTTGTGCGTGTGTGTGTGTGTGCTGATTTTTTCTTCTTCTTCTTTTTTACATATTTAATGAACAGCCATTGTGCGTTCTCTATTCATGATTTCAATTCTTTTTAATCCAATTCCATTCGAAGCAGCAACGCAAATAGAAGATCTGTTTACAAGCCGTTCTCTTTTCAATTGCATTGTTTTTTCTAATTTTACACAAATTTTAAGCCTAAAAATTCCAAGAAGCAATCTAACAAAGTAACAGTATTTATGTCTCGATTAAAAGCCAAGTATGGCTAAAGACGATTAATACTTGTAAATAGACGATTATTAAACAAAATAGAATAGAATACAAAGCAAGAATAAAATGCTTCTACGTACCCAGTTACCCCTCAGTTAAGTACTAACCGGATATAATTGCTAAATTTGAGTAAACAATTTAAAAAATTGTGGGGGGTTGTGGACCTGGTAAGGGCTTAATATTAAGCTCGCATATTCAAGCTCTTGAGCTTCCCGAGATCCTTGGCAGGCAAATATTATTATTAGAATATGTTCTACATGCTTTTCGGGTCTGTCTAATCATACAATGTGGGCCTAGCTAATCATAGCTAATATCTATGATCCTGGACGGCTTGTATTAATTTGTTTTATTCAATCGCCTAGGGGTCCATCAACACTAACACCAAGAACATAATTGTTGAAAAATCGATCACTCTTATAACCAATGCCTTCTTTTGCACCATTTCTTCTACGCTTTTAGGCATTTGCAACTTTTAGGCAATGCTGCAACATAGAGTAGTGAAACGGATCCTTATGAACGATCAATAACTAATCAAAAAGGCTTATTGGATACCCAAAGTATCCTCAAAACCTATTGCCCTAGAAAAATATAAGAAACCATTAAAGCTGAAATGTAACTTATACCTATAAAGGTATTTTTAGTAGAGATGTGTTAACACCTTAATGTATTAAGTAATTAATTTAAAGAGATTTTTCGGATAAGCCTCAAAACCCATTGTCCTAGAAAAATATAAGAAACCATTAAAGCTGAAATATAACTTTTATTATTAAAGTTCTTTTTAGTAGAGTTGTGTTAACACCTTAATGTATTAAGTAATTCACGTCAATAATAAATTTGAGATGCGATTTTAAGTAGACGCAATCAATCGCAAATACCAATTGCATTCTTCGCGATTTCAATTTCATGTAGAACAATTATGTATGTAGAACAAGAAAGTGAACTCTTACATTCATTTGTAATTTCTTGGAGATACTACTAGTCTGATCTGGTTTTCTACGAGCAAATTGTTCCTTCAAGTTCGCTGCAAGTCCGTTCTCGCAATTTCACATTCGCATTTTCACAATTTTTTGGTAGGATTGTAAAGTTATGTTTTATGGCATCGTTAAGAACGAGATTATACGCAGAACGTACATACTATATACGTATATAGTATACACAACAGTTAGATCTTTATTCCATAAGTATGCATGTATGCATTGGCTGGCGGACAAAAGATGATTTAATTCCGGAAGTACTTAAGCAAAGTAAATGCGCATTTTATTGTAAGTTTGACTCGCAGTTTATGGCCCACTCCGAGTCAACGTATAACTTACTTGGCCTTCATCTACCATTCACACAAATGTGCGTGTGCGTGTGTGTGTGTGCGAATAGTGGAGCGGAGGGGTACCCTCTCCCACAATACAACTATGCCGTGCTTCCTGGCCGGCATGGCACAGTTTTTCCGAAGCGACGGCAAAGGCGACGAACGACGAACGACAAACGACCTCGGCGGCACTTCAGACGCGCATGTTGTCACATTTGAGTTGCGGATTAGTTGCGACGCTCTTTAGGATTATGATCATTCGGCAAATCTGTTGCTCCTGTGCTGTACGAGTATACAGGCGTACTAAGAGTATATCTATGTGTGCGTGGAGAATATATTGCCATGCGGCCAAGACGCGCTGCATTGCTGCGTTCCCTTTGCGGGCGCGACTTTTGTTGACAAATGTGGCATATTTGCTGCCACCATTTGTCGCAGCCATTAAAGTTACTTTTTGCTTTCTGTAAATCAGGGTATTTATCATTAATAGTGTGTGTAAGCGTAAGGGTATGGGTGTGTCTGTGTGCTTATGTTTGTTTTGTAGGTGGTATTGGTTATGCTTAGTGCGAATTGCTTTGTTGCTGGAAATTTCGATTGAGGTCTGCCAAAATGTGAGCTTTCATTATTATAAAAAATTTCGTTAAAAAATTGTGAGACAAATAATAATACCAACTGATATTACAAACTTAAAATAAAAATGTGTGCGCAGGTATGTGTGTGAATTTTTCCCAGCATTCGCTTGAAAAGTGCAACATTCTGGAAAACATCTCAGGATAAAGGAAGGGGAATATGGATATCTGTTTTCGAATCACAGTGACTTAATTTAGTTCTAAATTATCTAAATAAATGCATTAACAAATAAATGCTTCGTGTTACTTTTAAAAAATAGTAACCAAATAATATTACCAACTGATATTACAAACTTAAAATAAAAATGTGTGCGCAGGTATGTGTGTGAAGTTTTCCCAGCATTCGTTTGAAAAGTGCAACATTCTGGAAAACATCTCAGGATAAAGAAAGGGGAATATGGATATCTGTTTTCAAATCACAGTGACTTAATTTACTACTAAATTATCTAAAAATTGTAAAAGTTTCTGCCAAAATTAGGAGCAGAAGACTATTCAAGCAAATGAGACTGAAAATTCATTCTTCTTTTTTCGGTTCTTGGTAGTATTATTTCTTTTGCTTCTTCAGCATCGATAACTTTTGTTTTAGTAGGGCTTGTTGGTCTTTGATTTGTGTACGTAGTGCTCCACGTTTGTCTAATCAAAAATAATAAAGCCTTGTGTTCTCTTCTATAAGCTGTGGTAAGTATGTAAGATAGCCCGAAGCCATGGGGTCAGGAATAATGGCTTGATATACTTATTGTTGTTCAATCCAATCTGATATCTGCAGGGTGTTGTTAAAAAGGGAAGAAAGAAAACTTCTAATTTGTGGCCAAACTATTTTAGCAATGTATTAACAAATTGAGCTGCCATTATAAATTTTAGCCGATCAGAAGAAAAAATTGGCCCGTGCTGTTTTTGTTTTACAAAAATATACTTCTTGGAATATTTATAATATTCGTATGTTCAGTTTCAGAGTTCCAGTACATAATCAGCATGAATTGATAACTTTTTAAACATAACAGCTACGGGCACAAAAGTAGACTTTCCTTTTTATACGCAGATCCAGTTTATTACAAACTACATATATACAACATATATATATTTCATTGTGATTGAAAGAACAAAGTTGATTTTAATTGAGAGGCTTTGATATATGTATGAAGACGACTTATTTCCACTTTTTAATAAAATGTTGATCAATAAAAGTTATATTTACCTTCAGCTATGTTTTTTAAAAAAAGTTTTTCCGGCATTTTCGTTATTTTGTGTGTCTGGTTTATCGAGGTTATACTGTATACTTTTTTATTTTATTTTCCAAATTTAAGAATTATAAATTGATAAATTCTTTGAATTTAAAACATTTGGAATGTGTCGTCAGGCCCTTGCATGACCCATTAAGTAATTTGGAAAAAGTACGTGACCTTTGTCAATAAAATAGTAATTACGTGCGAATTCTTGGACAGAGCTCAATGGGCGAGGGGACTACGAGCAGATAGGTGAGTGCAGTGAAGGCAGTGAAGGCAGTGAAGGCAGCTCGGAGCTGCCAAAAATCAGACGCACAGCAGGAGCTTGTGGCATGCAACGCTCTTCGTGCACATAAGCAGCATAAATTTTGCAAAGTGCGCCAAAATCACGTTCGAAACTATTTTATCAATAAGCAGAGCAGGATAGACGACGCACGTACTTAGTAGGTGGGTCACCGGAAGTACATAGATACACATACACGAATATATATGTATGTACTTGTATGCATGGATGTGCTGTTGCCGCTATATACATGGAGGCAATCCATATATGCGAGTGTGTGTGTGTGTGTGTGCGTCTATTATGTTAAAAGTCAAACTCCTGTGGTTAGCGACAACAACCTGTTGCACGCACACGCCTAGCCTTAGTGTGCGTGTCACTCACACACACACACTCACACACACGCACTGGCAGAGGTCCTTTGTTGAATCGGTGAATCCGGGCAAGAGCGGATCAATTGAAATTAGCAGCATTGCGAAAAGTCAATTGGCCATGTTTTCATTCAGAAAAATGTCGGAAAAACCCTCCTGCCGAACGCATTGCTGACCAATAATGGTCGAGAAAGGAGCGGACAGAGGCCAGAGTTCACAGGCAACAGGCAACTGGCAACAGGTAGCGCAGGTAGTCAGCCTGCTTTAGTAATAAAACTGACTGTCTAGGATGTGAGGAGTTTCAGTCGCAAACAGGTGATCGTGAGAATATGTTCGCATCCTCGGAGCGCTAGTTGAAGGAAAACATTTGAAATTGAAACCTTTCACTTACACTTACAACACTATCCTGCATTCTTATTACTACTTTGTATTTGTGATCATGACGAATCATCGAAAACTACGCAAGGATTGCTATGAGAGTCGTTTGCACGGTTTGTGTCCTGATTGGCGGCAGTTGGAGAATGTTTGAAGAAGCCACTTAAATGCCCTTAATTTTCCTCTATTTGCAGATATTGCGAAAACGTGTGCCATGAAGGAGAAAAGCAAAAATGCGGCACGCACGCGACGTGAGAAGGAAAACACAGAGTTCTGTGAACTGGCCAAGTTGTTACCCCTACCAAGTGCAATTACATCACAGCTAGACAAGGCGTCCGTCATCCGCCTGACCACATCCTATTTGAAAATGCGTCAAGTCTTTCCCGATGGTAAGTGTTACAGATCTCTCTACCTATCTATAGAAAACTTGTAGTGTTGCCTTGCAGGAGCCATGGAGCCCTAGCATCAACAGTAACTTAAACAAGTATGTCGAAAATGATCAAACTGGCAAATAATCTGCACACAAATTTTTATTTTTCACAAGCACATCATGAATATACTTGTAAATGCTTCCACAATTAAGCCAATAAGAATTCTGTGCTCAAATGTAGTTTTCTGTTGTTAGAAACATTTTTGGGAATTACTTTTAAAAGCCTAGTTTCAAAATTACACAAAATGTGCATGTCTGAACATGTTTGAATGAATACTCTTGTTTCAAATAGTACGAGAGCGAGCGCTTTGAAAGTATTTGTCTGTCTGATCAGACTTTCGTTAACATTCCATGAAAGTTGTTTTTGCTGAATATTTAAAAACAAATGCATTTCGTGGAAGATTGTGGGAATAGGTGGGGCTGCAAATTATTTGCCTGTTTGAAGGCAAATCTCACTAATTGGCACACAATTATTCAATGAGACAATTATTCTGAGATTCCTCTCAGACTTTCTTATCATTTCTTGAAAGTTGCTTTTGCTGAATATTTAAAACCAAATGCATTTCGTTGCAAATTATTTGCCTGTTTGAACGCAAATCTCATGAATTGAGAAATAATTATTCATTGAGATAGAGCGGAATTCCTCTCAGACTGTCGTCAACATTTCTTGAAAGTTGCTCTTGTTGAATATAAATGAATATAAAAAAATATACATTTCGTAGAAGAATATGCGAGTAGGTGGGCTGCAAATTGTTTGCCTGTTTGAACGTATCTGTATCGGATGAATTGAGAAACAATTACTTGATGAAATAGAGCGGGATTCCTTGTCTAGTAAACTATGCAGTTGAGGAGGAAAGGAAATCATGCTTTCAGAGAAGAAAAAAGTTATCCTTAGCTTGAACTTTAATTTCAAGCTAGCTTGTGAGTTACTGAGCTACTAGAGCAGGAACTATCTTCAAGGTTGCCGGGCAAGTGGCGCCAATAATTGCCGTTCAATTTGAGGCACACACGTTGGCTTTTCATCTTGCAATTAAGGAACTGGCCGAGGGGCCGTGCGAATTACTTGCGGCTATGTCAAATGATGCGGAATGTTGACAGCCACGCGCCCGCTCTCATTATATCCGGATGTGGCGCACAACCACACAGCAGGACATCAGTGCTCGGCTTTGTTGGTCGTAGTTTTGTTTGGCTCGCGAAAAGTGTTGGACGGCCGTTTTTCAAGTTTAAAAGGCGAAGCATATGTTCGCCTCATGCCTCATGCCTCATGCCACAAGCCATGCCACACATATGCGACGGCAGAAGCACTCAGCACACAAAAGGGCAGACAATAAACAGCGAGCATGAAGGAGCGAACAAAAACACAATGGCGGCGTTTGCCATCCACAAGGATTTCACTCAAAACGAGCGAGCGACATGGAGATGGAGAAGCCTGCGGCATGGGTTGGGAGCGACGAGGCTCAACGGACGAGGGACAAGGGACACACATCGAGCCAGAGTCCTGGAAGTGGGCTGGTTGTGCGAATGTGTGTGTGTGTGTGTGTGTGGCTGAGATTTTGTGCTGAGCAGGCAACGAGGGTTGCAACACAATGGGGTGGCACATTGGAAAGGGGCTGGTGGGGGGAGTCGGGATATTGTGTGAGGCATTTTGTGCTTTTCTTTCTTTATTGAAATAATTATTTTAATAATAGGCAACAAACAACAACGTCAAGGAAGTACAATGGCCAAAGGAAAATATATATACACGTACGCGATGACATGAGAACACAATCGACGCCTCTTGAAGCGGGAGGGGGCGGCGGCGGCGGCGGCGGCGGCGGCGGCGGCAGGGTGGGTGGGAAGTAATGTGGTGTGCGTTTCTGGGCTGTGAATGGGCCACCTACGGCGCTGATGACTTTAATTGGGAACAATATTTAGACGTCAGACGTGGCAAATAGGGCAGCCAAGTAGGTGGGGGATGGGCGTCTCCTCATTGTTTTGATATGCCATGAGAACTTTACGCCTCATTAAACGAAACTTCTGGGAAAGAGTTAAGCAATTGTGGTAGTCGGAAATAATGACATTTCTCATTTATTGCATGATACAAGTATTTTGATTTTATTTCTTTCCAATTTCGCAAATTAGAGCCAGTCCGAATTGAGGAGAAAACAATTCTATGATAATATTTTACGGTCCTAGAACTGAAGATCTTCATCAAAGCTTGAGCTTGTTTGAAGGAAATCGCGGTTTAATGATTGTATAGCTTCCCAGTTACTTGTATGTTCGAATAAGATGTCGTAAATGAATTGTTTTTCCCGCTTTCCCGCTTCAGGTCTCGGTGAAGCTTGGGGCTCCTCGCCTGCCATGCAACGCGGCGTCACCATCAAAGAGCTGGGCTCTCATCTGCTGCAGACCTTGGACGGTTTCATATTTGTGGTGGCACCCGATGGCAAAATCATGTACATCTCTGAGACGGCATCGGTGCATCTGGGGCTGAGTCAGGTGAGTGGAGGAGGTGTGGTTTAAGTGCGCATTTCTGATTTATGCGCATAAATTTGTGCGCCTTTTGCTGGCCGCCCACTTGGTCCTTGGCGTATCCTCATTTGCAAGTCAAAAGCAAAAGGCGGCCCAAAAGGCGCATAAGCAGAAATTTACATTTACGCGCGCGCCTTCGCCCTAATTGGCACTTGCAGTCAGAGCTGGTATCCTTTTTATTAACACTCGCCCGCTTTCAGGTCGAGCTGACAGGCAACTCCATATTCGAGTATATACACAGCTACGATCAGGACGAGATGAATGCCATACTGTCTCTGCATCCGCACATGCATCAGCATCCAGTGAGTAGCAATGAATGAAATGAATGGAGAATTGTATCTGGTTGTTGGCACATTTTTCTAAAATGTCTGCCTCTCCTCTGCTCTCTCTCGTTCCCGTTCTCGTTCTCTTTCCGTTTCTTTCCCTCCCATTCGTACTCACGCCGCAGGCTGCCTTTCTCAACTCCCTACAGCTCGCACAGACGCACACACCCATCGGCAGTCCCAATGGCGTGCAGCATCCGGCCGCAGCTGCCTATGGTCACGATCGTGGCTGCCACACCATTGAAATCGAGAAGACCTTCTTCCTGCGCATGAAGTGTGTGCTCGCCAAGCGAAATGCGGGCCTCACCACATCGGGCTTTAAGGTAAGTTCTCTACTTTTCGTCACTAGCTAGATACAATGCTTAAAAGTCGTGAGCTCTAGAACCTTGTACAGGAGGGATCATCTTGATCAGGAATATCACAATAAATGAGCATTATCTGCTGCAAATGTTTGCTTAGACTCAGCACGGCTTCAACATCTACAGATACTAGTACTATATATTCCCTCAAAGCCAAGTTGTGTAGATCTTTCTGAAATATTCAGTTTCCAAATCTTTGAAGCTATTAAGAGGTGTATTTTATCTAAATTAGAATTTTCCAACAAGGAACTTATCCTTAGTCTTGACTAAAAGAAGTTTTGTAGAAAATATTAATAGTTCCCTTAAAGCCAAGTTGTGTAGATCTTCCTGAGATATTCAGTTTCCAAACCTTTGAAGCTATTAAGAGGTGTATTTTATCTAAATTAGAATTTTCCAACAAGGAACTTTTCCTTAGTCTTGACTAAAAGAAGTTTTGTAGAACAAGTTAAAAGAGTATTTCTTGATCAAATTTTGACCGAAAATCGCGTTATTTTCAAAACTAGATCTAATCGATTAACTGCTTTCTAAATATAATTCATGATAATCATTATTATTATTTTTTTAATTAAACCAGTACTCTGCTACCAATATGGCAGCTTAAGCTAGTTGAAAATTAATTTATGATTATAAGAACCATTTTTTCTAAAAACTCTGCTGACCATAAAATCGTTTTTGAAGCATTATATACTCCCCATATATTTTAAAATAAATTGTACTAATCGAAATTTTTTAGGTGATACATTGTTCCGGTTATTTGAAGGCGCGCATCTATCCCGACTCTGGAGATGGTCAGGGTAGTCTTATACAGAACCTCGGTCTTGTGGCCGTTGGACATTCGCTGCCTTCGTCTGCCATCACGGAAATCAAGCTGCACCAGAACATGTTCATGTTTCGCGCCAAGTTGGACATGAAGTTGATATTCTTCGATGCGCGGTAAGTTTGCGACATAAAATGAAATGAAATGAATACTTAGGGCTGCGCAAACACTGAAATGGGCACCAGCACCAACCTTCCCCCACCACTTCCATTAAAAAAGAAAGCGAATAGGAAATACTATTCTTGGGCAATGTCAAATGAGGGATACTCTATCAATATGCCGCATAAGAAGGGTGCCTTAGAACTGGCACAGAAGTTAAAAAAGTTGCTTGAATGATTATGCTGATAAAAATAATATTTTAAGTATTTGATTCGGGTCTAGAAATCTCTTTATAAAAGAGTATATTTTTGAAGATTCGTTTCTTGCTATCTGATATAAAAGTGTATTTTGAAAACTGGCAAGCAAAGAGGGAACTGACCCTAAACATAGTTAATGATTTATGACTTACAATATAGCTTAAAAACTACATAGGAGGCATGGCACAAATCTACGATTTGATTTCATTGTGCAAAGATAGTTGTTTAATTTTCAGTGTATTTGATAAATATATTTTATTTGAAATTCGAAAATATGTACAGTTCCAAAAGTATGATGTTTCTTGAATCCAAAATGCCATTAAACAAGAGTTCTACTTGTAAGTATAGCTTTTCTTTCAAAAGCCTTTATCTTTTCGAGCCTTTTTAAATTAAAGGATTTGCATCCTTGGGCTTAAATATGATTTAATTCCTAAGAGTGTAGGCAGATCATTATTATAGATAGTGATAGATATAGAGTCTGTCCAGTTCGTACAAGTATATATTGTGTGTTACATTCGTAGCCATCGAATGGATATGCCCCGGCTGAGTCAGTTTTTATGACTACAAACAACCGAAGACAAAAAACGGAATGAATGCATGCAGGATGAGGCGCGACAAGAAGAAGTAGGTAGGAAAACAAATCATTTCCCTCTTGAGCTTGATTTTGCTTTGTGTGTGTCCCATAATAAAAGGCGACTGTGTGCGGTGGTTGGGCGGGTGGCGAGTGGGCCGCTTCCTTCTGGCCTGTAAGTGCCTGCCTACGCGGGCTCTGTGGGTAGTGTGGTTGTGTGGTTGTGTGGCTGCGTGGCTGTGTAGCCGAACCCCACTTTGTCTGACATTATTGTCACTCAATTACCCTCATGATGTTGGCATCTTTGTCGCTCGCAGCAGTCGCCGACATCGCTAGAGAGCCACCCCCGAGTGGAAGAAGCAGCCCTTTTCTTCTCCGCCACGCTCTGTTTTTTCTGCATAATTGAATAGAAGTTGACAAAAGTAAACCAGCCAGAGCACACAATACTCGTACTATACTTGTACATAACACCAATGCCCATTTGTTGTTTAAATAAGCAGTGGAAAGCGCTTCACGACTGTTGACATAACCTTAACTTGTTTTCCTTCCCATCGTTCGTTCATTTCACAGGGTCTCGCAACTAACCGGCTACGAGCCGCAGGACCTCATCGAGAAGACGCTTTATCAGTACATCCATGCCGCGGATATAATGGCCATGCGCTGCTCGCATCAAATCTGTAAGTGTGGAGCGTGCGCTAAAAATACAATCCATTGCAGAATGTTGAATGAATCCCCTAATTCTTGTTTATTTGGCTTCACAGTGCTGTACAAAGGACAAGTTACCACCAAATATTATCGCTTCCTGACCAAGGGCGGCGGCTGGGTCTGGGTGCAATCCTACGCCACGCTGGTGCACAATTCACGCTCCTCGCGCGAGGTGTTCATCGTGAGCGTCAACTACGTGCTGAGCGAACGAGAGGTCAAAGACTTAGTGCTGAACGAGATCCAGACGGGCGTGGTGAAGCGCGAGCCTATCTCGCCAGCAGCCCAGGCCGCCCAAGCGGCTGCCATAGCAGCAGCAGCCGCTGCCGCCGCCGCCGCCGCCGCTGCTGCCACGTCCAGTGCAACATGCACCGGCGCACAAGTGTCCGCCGCGCCCAGCACGCCCGGCAGCATGGCGCTCAGCGCCAGTCCCAAGCTGGATCCGTATTTCGAGTCGGAGATGCCAGTGCCCGTGTCGGTGTCGGTGCCGGTGCCGCCAGCTCCGAATGCCGTCACTCCGGTGCTCAGTCAGGGCAACAGTGGCAACAACAATGGTGCCTGGCATCAGCAACAGCAACAACAACAGCAGCAGCAACATGCGCATCAGCAGCAACAGCTGCAGCATGGAGGCAGCTTGGAGCACGACGGTCTCAGCTACACACAGCTTTATCCGCCTCTCAACGATCTCGTGGTTAGTTCGAGTAGCAGTGCTGGGGGCACGGCCTCTAGTGCGGGCGGCGGCTCAAGCGCCTCCGCCTCCTCGTCGGGCGTCTACTCCACGGAGATGCAATATCCGGACACCACAACGGGCACCCTGTACTATAACAACAACAACCACTACTACTATGACTATGACGCGACTGTGGATGTGGCCACGTCCATGATACGCCCCTTCTCAGCCAACTCGAATAGCTGTTCGAGCAGCTCGGAGAGCGAGCGACAACTGTCGACGGGCAATGCATCGATTGTGAACGGCACCTCGCCATCCCAGACGACGTACAGTGATCTGAGTCACAACTTTGAGTTGAGTTACTTCTCGGACAACAGCTCACAGCATCAGCAGCAGCAGCAGCAACAGCAGCAACAACACATGCTGGACCAGCAACACTTACAGCAGCAGCAACAGCAACAACGCATGCAACCGCTGACGCCGCAGCAGCAGCAACAATACCAGACGCAGCAACAGTATAGCATGCAACAGCAGCATCAGCAGCAGCAGCAGCAACAGCATCAGCAACAGCGCGTGGTCAGCGACTTTGCTGAGACCTTCAAGAGTGTGAACGCCGCTCCCACGCCCCACTACACCAGCGTCATTGTGGAGCCGCAACACTATATACCCAACGATTTTGTGCATTAGCAGCAGCAGCAGCAGCAGTCGCGGAGATGGTGTTGTTGCTGCCGCTGTCGTGTTGTTTCTAAAACACTCGCCAGATGGCCCACAAGTTGTTGCAATGTTATCGATTTATCGATGCTTTATGCTTTTCTCTCGCTCTCCGAGTTCTCTTTTGTAATACGTGGCTGAGCCACCCAACGGAAAAATGAAAATGTTCGTTTCAGTCTCTCCCGTGCCCGATATTTGTTGGCACACACCTATTTATTTACTATTGTGCGAGTATTTTATTTATGTTTTTAAACAAATTGAAAAATTCATTGTTGAACACGCTAGCAAGAAAGCAAACAAACAAACAAACAAACCAACTCTTTGATGGATTTTAGTTATAAGCGATAGTTGTACAATGCGCCTGCATAGGCATTGTATTTGTTCATATATACATACATACATACATAAATAACAATGTGCACAAATATTTACTATATACATATACATAGATACATAGGTTCTTTATGTACGCGCGTATTTACTTGCATATGAACTATAAATACAAATACATATACATTTACAAACGAGTACTACGAGTATATGCAGCAATGTGTAAATAATGTAGAACGGCTGGCAGTGTCGCCGACGACAACCTCTCTATATATACGAATATTGATCTTCATAAGTCAAATAAAAGCAGTAATTGTACATGTAAAATTAATGATAATTGTATGAGTAATTTTTCTAATTTGTATAAACAAATTATTATTATGTGGGTGAACAATAAAAAATATAAATGAACAACTTGTTTTAGTGACAAAGTGGATTATATTCAGAGTTTTGCATTACTATTGAAAACATTCATTTCTAACTGTAGTTGTCGTTCTACAGGTGTGAAGAAATTGAGCAATAGGTGGCGAATTGTTTCATTTACGGATACCGTCATTTCTTACCAGCTGGTGAGTAGAGAGGGAGTTGAAAATGATTCTAAATAAGGTTCTTGTCTTTGCTACAAAGTGGCTTACCAAATGGTACCAAATGTTTCAAAATAAAGCTGAAAGATATGAGTATCGATGCATTGTCAGATAAAGCAATATCCGAAAAGCTTAACAAAAGCTTCGTCTGAAAGCTGAATGATATGAAACATGTATCAAAAAGTGTTGCCTGTTTAGCATTGTGTAGAAGTGGTGCCAAATCAAATGCAGCTAACTTTAATTGGAAAAAAAACATAGAAAACGGTTTCTTTTTGGTTATGCCAATGTTTTGGTACGTATTTCTATATTTATTTGTATTCTTTTTTTTAAAATGTTGTTGATTTTAACATATCACTAATGTACTTGTAATGCACTGCCGCATTTCCCACAACGCAGCTTTAAATGACGAAAAAGAGTAGGGGAAGGATAATAAGGTGGCGCAATGGCATTTTTTGCTTAACTAAGGAAGAATCGCAGTGTTTGCGTGTCACCGACTCCTGATGTGATTAATATTTTGGCGCTTGACGAAAATGGTGCTTCGATGGATCGGGTATCATGCCATTTGCTCACATTACTGCTTTTCCCCCGCCATTGCCCGCCTGGTCAGCTCTACACTTTATGACTGACTCACTACAAAATAAACATTTGAGCCCATCTGATAGTTCTGATAGTTGGTGTGTGTGTGTCTAGGCGCCATTGATTTATTGCCTGCCATTTGGTTGCCAGTCGAGTGGGCTTTTCAGCCAAGATGTGTTATCTGCAGATATCGCTAACTTGGCCCCTTCCTAGGCCGGGTTAATTGTCGTTTTTCAATTGTTGAAAGTAGAGCGAGCGGTGTCACTTGAGCTTGCACTTTATGTTTGTGTTTGGGCTCACCCTTGATTTATGTCCTGGAGCATTCAAAAGTTTTACGCCTCGCCAGCACTTGAACCGCAAATTATTTAATTGCCATTTTGCTCGGCACATGAAAAGCAGGAAGTGGCAGCGGGAGGAGAGATGGAGGAAAAATAATGAAATGACTATGAGAGTCGAAGAATGTGCGGCTACTCAAGGACTTTTCCTTAATGCAATAATTTAAGTGCAACTGCAACCGCAACTTCCAGCCAGCCAGCCAGCTAGCCAGCTAGCCAGCCAGCAAAGAATCGTCATACTCGTATTAAAAATGAACAAAAGCAAGAGTGCAAAATGGACGCAACGGTGTTTGCTCTACACATCGAAGTTTCAGCCAAAGTTGGCCGCAGTCTTGTGGGTGCTTCTTTCTGTGCGAGTGCGAGTGTGTGTGTGTGTGTGTGTGTGTGTGTGTGTGTGTGTGTGTGTGTGTGTGTGGGTACATTGGAGTGCTCTGTGGCTTTTGGCCTTGCGGTTGAGCTGAGGCAGAGCAGAGTGAAGAAGCAAAACTGCAATGCACTTTAATAACGAAAGTTACGCAATTTGAAGCCAGACACTGCGAAAATACATTCATATATCCAGCGTTTGAAACGCAAACCTAATTTCGTTCTTAAAAACGCAAGTGAAAAGTATTTTAATTTAGAATTCGTGTCGAGTTTACGTGCCAGCTGGCTGGGTCAAGAATTCGAATGCAAAGCGAGTACCAAGCACCGACCGAGCACCATACTTGTACTTGGACACCTCCCAGGGCAGCAGCTGCTGTGCATTCGAATGGGAATCGGTGCAGCTTCCGGATCCGGTGCCTGCGCCCAAAAGAGAGCTACAATTAAATTAAATGATACGAATACGAAACGCACTACGAACAGTCCGGAACAGCTTTCAAGGGCTTAGCTACTCAAGACCCATTGCTGCGGTTGTAACTATTTTCAATATTTAATGTGTGGGTGAGTGTACATATGTGTGTGTGTGTGTGTGCGATATTTATTTATAAACAGTCGTGAGTCACGAGATTTGAATGCATTTTGTAGATGTTTTCAGTTTTGTCAGCCTTTAAGTTCCTTGGCAGCTAATATTAATATTAATTCTGAAACGAACGCAGCTCTGCATTAACTTTTCAAACTTTTGGATCAATCTTGGTTTCTGAAGAATTCGTATTTTATGTGAGATGTCCAAAAAGAGTATATTAAAACGATCAAGTAGGTAAGAGGTAGACAGGCTGGCATTTATGTTTTGTAAGCAAGGTCGGGGTAACTTTTTCTGAATGCGCATGAAATGAAATACCTTAGACTTGAGTTTAAAATCGCCAACTTTCTATCAGTGTATAGTAGATTTGAACCTGGCGTCCAACTCTACGATAATTAATATTTGGTTTTTCCTGAACAAACGGAATGCAAAGAAGTCATCGACAAGACGCTTCCATGTCAGATATCATTGCATAAAACTCCTTATATAGAAGGACAGCATGCAGAGGAGGTTCAAGCAAAGTTGTCGTCCATCTCTAAAGGGTGCTGGTGTGTGCTGATGGGACGGTGCGTTGCAGGTGCATTGCACACAACTGGCCTCATCTACCATTTTATTGTAGTTGGCATACATTTGTGCAGCTCTTGCGGCTTGGTAAATGGAAATTTTGAGCCTATTACATGAATGTTTAAATGGGAATGGCTGAGGCGACCAAATAGAAGGGCAGGAAGGGACAGGGAGGGCAAGGATTGGCAAGGAAAGTCAAGAGTACGCAGCTGGAACTGTACACACATTTGGCCCAAGGGACGCACTCACACTCCCATCCACGGACTGGCGATAGATGGGAAATAACCTTTTTAGGGCTAGAGAAACTAACGGGCCCATTAAAGCGCTTGGCCGAGCTCTAAAACAAAATGGGGCCAGTTGAAAAGTGCAATTGGCAAGAAATTGGCAAACAAGCAGCAATAGAAAAGAGGGCGAAGCGAAGCGAAGCGAAGAAAATGAAAAGCAAGAGAAAAGACACAACCAGAGCTAACGGAAGAAGAAAAGTTGTGTGTGGAAGACACAACTCTAGCAATTTGTTTGTAGCGGCTTTTGTTTTGTGCGCCCTTTTCGTGGCCAAGATGCAAGACGCAGGTGGATGGCACATTTTGGCTGACTGGCAAATACTGTCTGCTTGCATGTGTGTGGGTGCGTGTGTGTGTGTGTGTGTGTGTGTGTGTGGCATAAAGGCGCTTAGCAGCCTTTCGCTTTTCAATTGACCTTCTTTGACATTTTGCGCATTGTTCCGAAAATTTATCACTTAATAAATTTGTTTTTTGTTGGTCGCCCACAAAAAAGGAATAATGGTAATTGGAATGGCTGCGTCACTAAAATAGATATCCTGCCACGCAGTCGGACAGCCAGTGATTCAGTATGGGCCCAATCTGACAGAGGTAGCACGCCACATTCAAATCTTTACAATTTATTCGCCAATTGAATTTCTCCTTCTCCTTATTTTAATTTAAAAATTCTTTTTTGTTTAATTTTAAATTCTTTGTATATATTTTTAACATATCTGACTACTTTTTGCGGGGAATTGGGGCTGACCAAAGCCCCCAGAGGTTTATTCTGAATTGCTTATCTGTTTATAAATGTTATTTTTAAACAGTTTCCCTTACATTTATAGAAGTGTAATAAAATAAAATAAAACTGTCTTCAGAGTTTCCTTCGTCCATTTATGGATCAGTGTATATTACAAGAAAACTTTATCCCTCCACTCCCACCTCTACTGTTCTCGCACTATCCTATCTTTCCCTAAAATTTGGAAGGAATGTTCTTATCTGGCAGGCTATTTGATCATTCGCTCTTATATTAGACACATTTTGGAAGTAAAATGTAATTTAATATTTTAGCAACTGGCAGCTTATAATATTATATAAGTATTTTGCTAAAGAGGAGAACTCACCAATTGCTTCAGAGTTCCATCCACAAAAATCATTTACCCTTAAACTTTTTAGTAAAGGGCATACCCTGCACGTTTCATCCCAGCACTCTATTTCCAAAATAGAAAAAGCTAATTCATCCATGTTGCATAAATCAAATGTCCAAAACAAATTCTGTCACATGCTGATTTTATTATTTGACTGCGAGAATTCGTCAAAAACTTTGCTCAAAATGGCAAAAGGTGTTTCTATTTAAAAAGTTGATGACAGGTGTCCATCAATTAAGAACTAAAATGTCATCGTTTGTCCGTTTTATATTTTTCAAATGAGTTTAACATTTACGGCAGACGGAAAGTATGAATTCGTGATGGCATAAATAATGTTAGGGATTTATTGTTCGATGGTATAAAAAGAATGTTCGCCGTTTTAATTGTATTTATAGTTTTGTTTCAAACCGCTCATGGTTAACTGAAGAGCCACCATATGTTGTGAAAAAGGAGAACTATTTTGTCAATGACTTTTTTATACCGGCCACAGAAAGGTCAAAAGTCAAAGCTGGGGGCCTTTTATTCAAAGCAAATACAAGGTCTCGTCATGTTGATTAAGAATATATGTACTTTATGGTGTCGGAGATGCGTCTTTATGCCTGTTAGGGATGACCACATGGTATGGGCAGTTTATTCCGAATTTCTCGACATTCCGAACATTCCCTCCAGCCTTTATTTAACTTAGTGTCCCATCTGATCTTATTTTATTCATGCACCATAAATATATTTAATAATTGGCTTCGATTTTATTTTATTTATTTAGTAAATCAACAAATAAAAAAGATATGTAATAATACAATGTTATAATTTCAACTTAAAAGATAAGAAAGCCTAAGAAAAAAATATACAATAACGTCTACTAATGCCTCCGACCCTTTGAGGGAGTTTTATTTGCCAGCTATGCCCCGAATCTCAGCCATATGTGGTCAGAGACATTATACACCTGATAGGCTAAAAAAATA